GGTGATCGTTCTCCCACAGCGCAGCGCTGCCGGGATGAGGGCCTGCTACTGGGTGCTGAGGGCCTGCTACTGGGTGCTGATGACCTGCTACTGGGTGCTGAGGGCCTGCTACTGGGTGCTGAGGGCCTGCTACTGGGTGCTGAGGCCCTGCTACTGGGTGCTGAGGCCCTGCTCCTGGGTGCTGAGGGCCTGCTACTGGGTGCTGAGTCCCTGCTACTGGGTGCTGAGGCCCTGCTACTGGGTGCTGAGGGCCTGCTACTGGGTGCTGAGTCCCTGCTCCTGGGTGCTGAGGGCCTGCTCCTGGGTGCTGAGTGAAAGCCGTGTGTGTCTGTGTGTTGGGCTGAGTGGGAGCCACTCAGCGGCTCTCCGTCGACCCCTCACCTCATCATCTTCACACCCTTATCTTGCAGCTATTCCCTATATATACAGCAGCGGATCAGAACCGGCCTCTCGCTCCGTCTCAGCGCTCCGTCGGGTGCTGCGTGAGCGACTGGAAGGTTGCTGCCTGAATCTCAGGGTCACAGAGTGATTTCACCTGTGAACTCCACAGTACGGCCTTAAAGTTCTCAGTTGCTCCAGCGACAACGTCACCTTCCCTGCGAGAGCGAACGTTACTTTGCATAGGTTACTTCTGCTAAGTGTAATGTAGCTGCGGTCACTAGCAGTCTGGCTTCAGGTTGGTTGTATTGTCAAAACGATCCTGCTTTCGGTGACCATCGGCTGGGAGGCTGCAGCTGGGCAGCAGGGAGAGCAGGTTCAGGCTCCACATCACGCCTGAAGGACACAGAGGGGACACGGCGTGAGCCGCAGGAGGCCACGCCGGCCGGGGCTCACCGGGGGTGACAGCTGACCGCCGGCACAGAATCCTGCCTGGAAAACCACCGGCAGCCACATGGGATGAATTCAATTATGGAAGCGGAACGTGAACAAGATCACATGGGGGGGGGGGGTATTCCAATCATTATGGCAGAGGCTCGCAAGTGAAGCAGGCCTGCTTTGTCTGATCAAAGCCAGTTTCATTTTGTGTGGTTCTCTGGTTGGGGTGTGTGTGCGTGTGTGTGTGCGTGTGTGTGTGCATGCGTGTGTGTGTTTGTGGGCATGTGGGTTTTTCACACATCAGCACCACATCACCAAGAGCACAGTCCCTGTGCGTCATCAGGGTCCCAGAAATGCATGAAGTGTATCAGTGCGCATGAGTGTGAAGCACAAATGCACGAGTGCAAACACATACAGCCCTCCCCCAGCCTTAAAATGTCCCCCCCATCCACCACAAGGGTGCCTTCATGTGTGACAAAGACCAGTCCAGACATGAGTCACTGCTAGGGGGGTGGGGGGGTTTGTCACCCACAATTAGCTGATTTTTTTCTCAAACCAGGCGATGATTGTCAGTGCAGAGGTGCTTCTTCGGTTGATCTCACACGCAAGTGCAGCTGCTGTTTTTTGCAAAGTCATGTGATGAAAATTCTGAGAAGGCGCGACACGCGGATATCTACTGAAGGAGACCGTGGATATCTACTGAAGGAGACCGTGGATATCTACTGAAGGAGGCCGTGGATATCTGCTGAAGGAGGCCGTGGATATCTGCTGAAGGAGGCCGTGGATATCTGCTGAAGGAGGCCGTGGATATCTGCTGAAGGAGGCCGTGGCTGTTTCTCTCCTTATCAACCTCCTGCTTTTGCATCCCCCCAAACCGCCTAATAGACACATAAATCCCAGCCCTCGTTTGCAGCATTGTGATTGGCTCTGCTTTTGTTTACGTTCATCTATTTAGCAAATACTTTTCTCCAAAGCGATACACAAGTGAGGCAGAAAGTACTTCGCAAGTTTACAGCCATCATGGTACAAGTGCTGCCAGACTACTTATGAGAATAATAAGCTACTCAAATAACAGCAAGAAATTCTAGTAAGAACCAAAGTCCAAGTGCTTAATGCAACAAAGCATCCAGGAGCAGCAAAAGTCAGACTATTTCAATGGAACAGTCAAGTCAGGTTCACTCAGGTGTCGGACAGATGGGTCTAAAGACATTTCTTGAAATGTGAACAAGATATTGTTGAGTAGCTCTTTTTTTATCAAAGAACTACACATTTAAAGTGTTCTGTATAATACTAGATTCATTTTCTCGATGTGGAGGAATAATCCGGCAGTGCTCACTCCCTGACTGTGAACATATCCATGGATCCACAGAGACTTGATGGTAGGTGCTGTTCCAGCTCTGAAAGTCAGCAACAAGGACGTGATTTGAATTTGCTGTACCTATAGGCAGCCAATGAAGAGATACAAGGAGAGGTGTCACGTGAGGATTTTTCCTGATTGAATACCAGGTGTGACGAGGGGCGGGCAAGGAGTTGAGCTACGGTGACCAGATAATGTCAGGGGAGACAATCTGAGGTACTTGAGGTTTTACAAACTACTTGAAAACTGAAAGACTTCTGTACTTGGCTAAATAGTTTAGTTCTTCCTTTGCTTCGCCTGGTTTGTTTCCTTGACTGAAAGACTCATCCAGCATGCAGCAAGAGCTGAATGCTTAAGTGAAATACAAAATTTGTTAATTGAAATTTACAAATCTTGTCTTAGCTCAAAATGTCCAGGATGATGTGGATTATCTGGTCACCCTAAGTTGAACTGCATATTGCGATACATAAGGTCTGATATTCATGATGTGACACCAAGTGAATGTACAAGATTGAGAGATAAGTGCAGTGTGAACAGCAAAGAATACCTGGTCATGAATCAGTACCCAGGGTGCCCAGAAAACCTGATGATTAAAGCTGGACTGTCGTGTCATGTTGAATGGTGAGGTTGACAGGGGAGGCAAGAAGCTTGGCCTTCAAAACGTTCATTGGAACTGGCAACCCCTCATCCTGGCTGCGTACAATGCTAGCCAGGCAGATAGGAGTCTGAGCTGCGACTGTGGGGTCCCTTGGAAGGAAGGTCAAGTAGTGGTGGGTGTCATCGGCGTAGCAGTAGTCAGAGAAGCCATGCTTGCATGCCACGTAGATAAAGATGATGTCGCCTAACCAAGCAGATCAACGAGTGATATGCCACAATGCAAAGAATTATGTGAAATAATTTAAATTTGATCCAATAAGGATTCAGTCTCCAGTGACAGGTTTAGGGACTATAAGGTTGCAGTGCCAGTTTAATTTCCATTGACCCGGGCATGTCCTCGATTGTCTGCCTTTTCATTTTCCTTCAGCTAATAACGTCAGTTCAGATTGTCATACGCCTCAGTCCGCATCCCCCCCCCTCCCCCAGTCCCAGCCCTGTGTTCCTGGATGCATAGAACACCCCCTGGCTCCCTCACTCTGGTTCACGCCACCTCGGTATGGCCCGTCAGTGGATAGAGGCGTCCTTGAGGCTGCCGCCCTGCACAGACACACACACACAGATGCACACACACACACACACACGCATCTCACTACTGTGTTAGCTGCTGTTCGCTTCCTGGTTGCCACGGATAACAATGCATGCTCATTTCTTTCAGGGGAAAATGGCAAACAGGTGTTATGGGATCAGTAGGGGGTCTGAGATGAAAATGGTGTCAGAGGGGTAAGGAACAGACAAAGAGAGAGAGGGGGGGAAGTGGAGGGGCTCTATGCGAGGATAACATGCTGGGGCTGGCAGAGAGGGATTGGGGAATGAGAGAAAGGGGACCATGAGCGATGGCAGGGAGGTGAACGAGAGACAGAGCAGGGGGGAGAGGCTATGGGCCATGCGAGGGCGTAAAGGACACAGCCACTGGCTGTCAACCCTGAGCCAGAAAAGCCCCTTAAAGAGCATGGCTGGGTGAGTGCATGAGTGTATGCATGTGCATGGGCATGTCTGCATATGTATGTGGAAGTGTGAGCATGTGCCCGGGCGTGTGTGTGCAAGCATGCGTGTGGGCATGTGCGCGTGGGCATGTGCGTGAGGGCATGTGCCTGGGCATATATGTGTGCATGTGAGTACTGGCATGTCTGTGTGCTCACACACAAAACATCATGAGTTTGTACACTGTTCCTGACATGTTTACCCTAAAGCCGGCTGACAGGCCAGCTGAATGTGAGGCCCCCACTTCGCAAAGCAGAGCGCTGACTTCCTCCACACTGTCGTTTCACACGTACGCGGCTGAGCCAGGCCATACCATCGAGTGCATTTGTCACCCAGAGTGCCTCCGCCTTTTCTCTAGTCTTTCACAGCTCCCTTGCTTTCGCTGCCTGATCTTCATGCAGGACCGGGGAGAGAAGCCACTCCGTCACATGGGGAGCCAGGAAGCAGACAGTCACACGTCTGTATCTGTGCTAGACGGGAGACAAACTGGCCTGGGGTCCCTAATGGAAATAAGTGAACAGCAATAATCCAAGGCTGACACTGATTATTTTATATTAATGGGTTAAAAGGTTGACACCAGTTATTTTATTTATAACTTATGGGTGTCTTGTGGCCTGGCTCCTGTTGCTGAGTCCTAACTGATTCAGGAAGAGTTTTCTGTTCATGTTAAAATGCATTTCTCTCTCTCGACTGTGACACAGCCCAGCTCTGAAAGGTGCCCCCGTCCCGTTCCCACATTACCTTTCCCCTTCCTCTATCCCCCTTTCCCCTTCCTCTATCCCCCTTTCCCCTTCCTCCATCCCCCTTTTTCCTTCCTCTTTCCCCATCCCTTTCCCATATTACCTCTTTTCCCTTCCCTCTGTTCTTTTTAGCTTAGATTGATTTATGTTCTGTGAACTTTCACAGGTCCTCACACTCCTGTTTCTGTGAGTGTGTAAGTGTTAGTTCCTGCTTCTCACTGCCACCATGATTTCATTCCTGCATAAATTATTCAGTCTCGTTGCTTTGTTTGTCTTTCTGATGCTCCCGTCACTTTTTCCTCTCTCCAGCCATCCTTCTCTTAGTGTCTTTCAGTCTCATCTTCTGCATATATTTCCATAGCATTGGACCTTCTATGTAATTTGGCACTGGCCATCTCGTCACTTCGAAGTATCTGCTAACCCAGTCTTCATGCTCTGTACCTTCCCAGCCAACATCTTGACTGTGATCATCCTCTCCCAGCTGGTGTCACGCCGTCAGAAGTCCTCCTACAACTACCTCTTGGCCCTGGCTGTGGCAGACATCTTGGTTCTCTTCCTCATCGTCTTTGTAGACTTCCTGCTGGAGGATTTTGTCTTAGGCATGCCATTGCCATCCTCGCTCAACAAGGTGGTGCAGGTGCTTGAGTTTTCCTCTATCCATACCTCCATCTGGATCACCGTGCCACTCACGGTGGACCGCTACATTGCAGTGTGCCACCCACTAAGATACCACTCTGTCTCCTACCCAGCCCGCACACGCCGTGTCATTCTGGCTGTCTACCTGGGCTGTCTGCTCTCCAGTGTCCCCTACTATTGGTGGCCTGACCTGTGGCTGGAGCCGGTGGGTGTGGCCAAGAGTGGCGGGGGCAAGGCCAGCAGTCTGGGCCAGCATATTCTGGTGTGGGCACACTGTGCCACCGTTTACCTGGTGCCCTGCTCCATCTTCTTCACCCTCAACTCTGTCATCGTGCATAAGCTCCACCGGCGCAGCTGCTTCCGATTCCGGGGCTACTCCACGGGCAAGACCACCGCCATTCTCCTGGCTATCACCTCTGTCTTCGCCGTGCTGTGGGCACCACGTGTCGTCATGATCCTCTACCACCTATATGCAGCGCTGCCCTCGGCGCCGGGCCCGGCCCGCCTCCTCCACCTCATCACCGACGTAGCCAACATGCTGGCGCTCCTCAACACCGGTGTCAACTTCTTCCTGTACTGCTTCATCAGCCGCCGCTTCCGCGTCATGGCAGCTGCCGTGCTGCGGGGCTTCCTCCGCTGCCGCAAGCAGCCGCCCCCCTTCTACGCCAGCCACAGCTTCTCCATCACCAGCAGCCCCTGGATCTCACCCGCTAACTCTCACTGCATGAAGATGTTCGTCTACCAGTACGACAAAAACGGCAAGCCCGTGTGCATCTCCTCCTAGACCCTCCTCCTCTCCTCTTCCTCATCTCTATGCTCGCACTCTAGTGCTGATTCAGAGCTGAGGCTGGGAGGCATGTTTATGATTGCACACCTGTGATTGGCCAATTGGGACCTTGTGATCCAGTTGAGGCTAGCAGAGAGGCCTCAATTTCTTCTGCCACTGATTCACCAGCAGCAGACACACAGGTGTTTGAGGTGGGCGGCATCTAACTAACTACCAACATCAGCACTGAACAAAAGAAAACACGAATAGGCCAGTGACCCACGAGGGTCATCAGTTCTGACCCAGTTTGACCCAACTGGTCCTATGCAGCCACCGACCACTGGGCTGACATCATACCCCCTCGTTTTCCCAGCTTACCTGGGCGTCTGCTCCACCCCCTAGGAGTTGTCTATGGTGCAGCTGCCTTTTTTAACTCTCTGAGATGCGGAGTGTAAACGATCCCCAACAGCAACTGCATCCCTCCAAACAAAGAGAACCTTCCATTTGTTCTCATGTGACAGAGCAAAGAAAATCAATACCTGAGGTTCGCTTTACCTTTCAGGAGGCGCTGTGCTGCCGCCTAGCCTGTCATGCTGATAACATTCCCACCCCGTCCACTGGGAAAGGCCAGGATACACAGTGCCCGTTCCGCTACACGGCCCCTCGAACCCGTGTCGGCTTCTACCTATGTGTTGGGCCATAGTTACAGTAAGCCCGTAGTGCATGAAATAACCCCGTCACAGTCGTAGAACACTAGGTGACTGTTATATGTGCTGTTAATGCAAAGAAATAAATCCATGTTGAGAAATCCGGTTACTGCATATATTACAATAATTAGTGTTAATAATTACACTTTCTCTCTGTGCTCGTTATCTTGTAATAACTGATAGCACTGCTGAGTGGAAGAGGTAAAAGGAATCCTCTGCAGTTAGTCAGTGGTGTGTAATTTATAGACCTTAATGAATGTACTGACAGTGCACCAATACTCCAATACCTTCAGTTAGTAGCATCTGTATCTTCAGCGTTGGCATTTGTAGCCTTTTGTCTGAAAAACGCCTCGTAAAGACGAGCTCACCAGGTGGCCAGAGTGGGTCCGCAAGTCATGGATTCAGAGGCAGGATAGGAGGACGGTGCTTAAAACATGAAAACACAAATGTAGACAAATGTAGAGTCAGTTCAAAGATGCTTCAGCGTTTCCCCACAGCAGATGGGACGCACTATGAGGAAAACATTTGATTCCACATCAACAGATTGAGGTCTGTAATGATTCACCCAGAAACTTCTGTTCTTGGGCAGCACATGAGAACATCCCTCCCACAGCCCATTTCCCAAAACCCCCATCTGTCACGGCAGACTTCATGCACCAAGCGGTGACAAGCCCCAAGACAGACATCAGTGTCAACCCAGCCGCTCTCTGTCGACACTCTTCTGACTGATGATCTAAGCTGTCACCTTGGCCCGGACCAAATAGGTCGTTTAGCAGGTGGAGATGAATAAAGAAGTGCAATGGAAGGGCGGCTGGTGCAGTAGAAGTGCACGTCGTGTGGGGGGGGGTCGCTTGCCACAGGGCCAGACGTGAGCCATCGCCCATCACACAACGGTACGTAACCCTGTACCGATATTCTAGGAACACAAAAACTACACAGAATGAAAATAAAGAATCACAGTCAGAAAGAGAGGGAAGTGGAAACCAAGCGAGAGGGACAGAAGGAGGGAGAGAGACAGAAGGATTGTGAAAAGGTGTTCATAGTATTAGGACAGTCTGAAGGACAAACATAACCACAAAGTGTTTGCAGGTTTTTTTTCTTATACTTTCATTGCTTTGAGTTTTTTGGGGGGGGTTTTTTGATGAGGGAGATTACGATCCGTGCCTGAATTTTGCCGGGAAAATCCGTAGCGTCTATTTCCTTGACACGAACACCTGAATGTGCACACTTTCCCATCCAGCCATTTTGCTCTTTGTACTTGCCATTAAGGTGAATCACCTCTGGAGGGGTGACAGTCCCCATAACAACAGTCCTGGCTGCACGGCATACGGACGAGGCGGGAGGTGCTGGGGACGCAAACAAGGCCCCAGTGTCAGAGGAGAGAGGAGACTCTGACAGAAATGAGAGGCTTCGGCTGCAAGTGATGGGACGTTTAATCATTTTTAGACTTAGATCTTCCCTGCAGCTTCTGCTACTTAAATGTATGAAACACTGGTCCAACCAGTTTAATCAGTGGCTAAACTGTGTTCATAGCCAAAAGGCTAATACAGCGCAGCCCAGCATGTTATCCTGGTGTGAAGAGGCTGCAGATGCTGGCAAATCCAGGCTCACGGCCCCTGGCTTGTCCTTCTGCCTTCCTCCATGGGAGAGTGTGAGACCTGGTGAATTTTATTAGTTTTTTTATTTTTTTTTTGAGGGTCTCACGTGCACCAGCAATATCAATTATGTGGGAATGTCTGGCTGGCCTCCTGGTGCACAGCCTCGCCGGGGGGCCCTCGGATCGCGCTACGTGGGCCCCCCCAGACGTGTGTACGTGAGAAAGCATGCGTGCACAGATAGACCGCTGGGACACCAAGGGATTACATTCACACTCGCGCCGCCCTCCCCTTCTCCGGCTCTCCCTATCGCCTTGCCATGCCAGCCCCTGGCCTCTGGGCCTGTTCACATATCCATCCCTAAATACTCCCTAAAGCCGAGGATTCTATACCCATGTAGATCTATTACGAATGTATCCATCTCCTCCTGAGGTCCAGGCTCCAGTCAGCTGCCTTTTTGTGGGTTTCTCTCTGTAGGGTAATAGAAGACATGTTTATTTATTCATGAGTATATGCACACGTTTATTTTTACACTTATGAACCCAGAGACGGATACGCGTGCTTCACCCAAACACAAGAGTGCGGTTTAGAAGTCACTGCAGAACCAAGGTTGAGGGGGG